CCATAAGATCTACTCAGAACCCCCTGGGCTGCTGGCTGCTCACCCTCCTCCCAGGTCAGCTCCTTACCTGTACGCAGGTAGGTCCACCCAGGGCCTGCTTGTACACCTGCGCCTGATGTGCACCTGGGGCCTAGGAATCCAGTGGGGGCCTATAATCCAACAGGGGTCTAAACTTGTTTAAAACAAATTTTGATTATTCCTATAGAGAAGGAAAGGCCTTCTAGCAATAAGAAGCAGAGTTTCACATCAAATACATAAAAAATGATCAAAATCTTATGAAGAAAGGTATCAATTTTAATCTCTGAAATGTTAACTTTTGATAAATATTTAAGTTTATAAGGAAAAATGAAACCATGCTGATAAAACTACAGTCATAGGGAATGCTATAGAGTTTCTCATGTGTGGATTGAACACAGAAAGGTTCCACCTACTTACGGTCATAATTTTCTACCTTAATCTTCTTGATCTTACGATTAATAGAAAAAATACCATGACAATGATGGTGATGATGGTTCAGGCACACAACTGAGGTTTAGTGATAGAAACATCAGGTGCTCCAGTTACAGTGCAGCTGTTCTTATTGGGGTGTGAAAATCAATCTTGTGTTCACTATACATGGGAAGGAGGAGTACATGTGGGGAGAACCGCATTTCACTGGACTTAGGTTTTTCACAGAAGAGCTACAGTTTATCCTTCACTCTCCATTCTGTGGTCAAAAAACATGGAACAGAGAAGAGTATTTCAACCTGAGACTCAGTTACTAGAAATGCACCTGCACCTCCCTGCAACCATATATGCCACCTCTCTGTGCTGAGCCAGAAGGGTTCACATATGGCACAGACTGAGGCTGGACTCCATAGTTTTCAGCCTCCCAGGTGTCAGGTGTTCTGGGGTCACCTGGAGGAGGGAAGCTTATGGGTTCCCTTTTCTTGACCAGCAGGGGGCAGCAGAGTTACAGTCAGAAGAGAGTCTGGGGCTGCCCAGGAGGAGCCTAAGGAGGAGGCCAACCCTGAAGGCTCAAGAGGAGTCCAGGGATCAGTCCTCAGTATGGAAGCCCAGTAAAGTGCATCCTATCCCCTTGAGCTGCAGTAACCCCATCCTGAGTGCTAGATTTATGCAGTGTTCACCCAGGACACTGACAGGAGACGGGAACCTGAGGGCGTCACCTGGGAAATGCAGCCAAGGCAACTGGGCCCGGTGTCAGCCTAGGCAGCTCCTACAGGGCTGGGATTCCCCCAAGGTTGGGGTACTCTAGGAGTGGGACACAGTGTGAGAAGATGGAGATCCCAGGGCCAGAGTCCTTCACCCAGGATGGCTGCCTGAGCCTCCTGCCGATCTCAGGCACGGTCTTGTCCCTCTCTTTTCAGCAACATTTTGAGGAGCTGAGTCCTCAGTCCGGGGCACTTCAAAAGACTCCCCCACCCCTTCTCCCTCTGCCTTTCTTTCCAGCTCCAGGCATACTCTGGCTCAGGGGCAGCTCCTGTGCTCAGGGAGTCTCAGGTGGGTGGGGTGGCGCATTCAGGACCCTGGTTCCTGGATAGGACATCCCCAGCCTCCTTGAGGAGACGGTCTCCACAGGGAAGGGGATTCTCACCTGCCTCAGGCCACAGCTCTGGCCACCAGGTGGTCTTTGGCTCAGTGACAGGATATATCTCATTGCAGGGACCAGGGACCACCTACCCTATGGAGCCCACACCCTGTGCAAAGACTGTGTCCCTGGGATTCTCACAGAGACCATGGGGCTTACAGTTGGATTTCCCACCAATATTTCATGTGAACTTGAGAAAGCACCAGAAAACCACACTAGATAGAGAACCCTGGTGCTTTTTACCAATTTACATAAAGATTTCATGGGAAAGATAGATAAACAATGGCAGAGCTGAGGATGGCAATGGCTGGTCCACTGTGGGGAAGGGGATGGCCTAGAAGGATCAGTACCATGGGCGAAATGAGACCAGATGTCCTGATGACTCCACATGGGTGAGCGGTTCCTTAAATGACTCAACTATTCTCACTGAAGTAGGTGACAAGTGTCCTAATGACACAATCCATCATTTAGATGAAATGACCAGGATGGGACATTTCCTCTAGCCAGGAAGACTGTGGACAAATTCATGAGCAGGGCTGGCCCAGTTCATCTGGATCTGAGTCCCTCCAGCCCTCCAGGCAGAGTCTGAAGAGGGGGCGTCAAGAGTGGATTTAGGACTTAGCTGACCGGGATGTATTGGGGTTTGGGGACTCAGCTGTGACTTAGGGAAATGGGATCTGGTTGAATCATCAGACTGAGGTAGATATTCCTCAGCTGGTCTCTGGATTTCCACAGGTCATGACAAGCCAGTCCTTGGCCTGAATATCCTGGATCAGTCCCCAGAACTGCACAGTTCAAATCATGTCATTCTCTACAGAAAAACCAGTGGAGTGGACACTGTGGAATCTGCCCAGATTCTTTCTTCTGAGCTCAGCCACCCAGCACTGTTGGGAGCTTGTGGCAGCTGAGAGCTGTGCCTTCACTGGGAAGTGTGGCTCAGTTCAGAAAACTGCCTCCTCCAGGTTTATGCCCTTCCTCAGTGAGGTTAGGTTTCATGACTGCCTGAGGCCCATATCCCAAGACTCTGCCTCAATATAGGAGGACCTGAAAATCCGCCCAGCTCTACAGCTCCCTGAAGGAAATAATGAGACCTCACTGTGGGTCGGGGTCTCCTTCTGCCTAATGTTGCCTCCCTCACCTCCTTTCACATCTTCTGTGAATGCAATTCCCCTTCTCAGAGTCTGTTTCCAGGGAACCCAAATTAAGATCACCAGCCATCCCCAACATGGGCCATGCGGGACCTCAGGAGGCCACTGTACACTGGAAACCTTACCCGTTTATTCCTAAATTAGCATTGTGAGTATCCACATGCCAAATGAGATCTGAGTGTTTCTTGCATTTGTATGGAATGAAAAGGGAGCCTGACTCACCTGGTGCTCTGGGTTCTGAGGGAGAGTTGGAGTCAGATCTCCCTGCACAGAAACCTGGGGCAGGGGGAGCAGCCTCACCCCATGCAGGGACCACAGATGCACCCACAGGGTGAGCTGCAGGGTGGACACTGCCCACCTCCACCCTCCACACCCAGTGCAAAAAAATCATTCTTTCCACCCCTCCTTCATCCTATCAAAGTTGACACTTAAAAAGCCACCACAGCCCACACTTGTCAACAGGAAACCCATTCACATCTCCATCAACCACACAATCCCCACAGATTCTTCAAAACATAACAGTAGCCATGCAAAGTATAGAAAATGTCTCCTAAATAATTGTAATTAGATTACATATGAAAGTGATACTCTTTTTGATATGCTAGGTAAACAAAGTATATTATTTATAACCAATTTCTTCTTCTCCTTGTATTTCTAGTTCAATGACTAGACATTCGGATTCCCATGAGGCTCACATCATATTGTGAATGGACAGTGCTGGTCTGCACCCCTTCAGATTACAGGGGCTGTGGAGTGACCTGGCGCAGGAAGCCCCGTCTCCATCCATAGGACATTGGTGTGAACCCAGGGAGGGGCGCTGGTATAAGAGATGAGAACCCAGGGGTGAACCACCTGTTTGTGCAGGGGACTGAGCCTTCACTTTGAGCCAAATAAGCTTCTTTTCCTATCTTTAATCCTGAATAAGAGGGCTCTCTGGACCTCTTTTTGTTTTTTGGGCTTGTGCCCCTTCAAGTTTCGGGCTGCCTGGATCCCAGCCAGGGGACACTGAGGAAATCCAGGAGTCTCACATTGACTCTGTTGTATTTCATCTGCTGGGGCCGTCCCCAACTGCTGAGTACCATTTCCTTTCCTTGTGCTCAAATAGCCGCTCCATGCACTTGTCGTGGTTTCAGAGATGAATCTGATGGGAGGACAGGATACTGAATGTTATAATATTTAAAAGGAACTTGAATCCATTAATATTTATTTTAATATGAAACATTAAAAGAATTTTGTCATAGGCAATGGGGAAAGAGGAAAGATATTAAAAATATTTTGAGGAAAAAAGCAATAATGTATTTATGGAGTGTGTGTGTGTCTTCAGCATTGCCGGGCGGAGAGAGGTCAGCTTTAGGTTGCTCTGAGGATGTGCTCCGATGGGGGAAACCAAGAAAGAGGAAAGATGCATTTCTGTGACCTGACACATAAATCACAGTAAAATGGAAACAAATCTTTCAATAAATCAAACATTCACAATAAATATCACCCTGGTGCACACAGAAATGCCTGTTAACAACTTTCCCTTCATCCTGCCGGCTCATATCCCCATAGATCACCTGTGTGCAGAGTGGACTCTGTGGTCCCCATTTCTCAGGCTGAGAACTAGAGGCTGGGAAGGACAAGTCACCTGCTCATGAGTGGGAAGGGTAGGATTGGGGGCAGAGGACTCAGGCTTAGGACTGCGGCCCTGGTCGGTGTTCCTGTTCCCTCCACAGGGTCCCTCCTACATGTGCCGTGTGGATGTGGGTGCACTGCCTGGGGCGGCTGATGTGCTCCAGGGATTCAATGTGACAGATGCTTCAGCACAAAGCTTGTGGGTGGGGATGGGATGAAGCTGTAGCTGGGGAGATCAGAGACCAACGCCCCCTGGCAGAGGGGTCCACAGGATGGGCAGTCCCATTTCCTGACAGTAGAGACAGCCTGGAGGTGGGTGCCAAGCAGAGGGCACTGCATGGTGTGCCCAGGCCTGGAGGTCCACAGAGACACAGGCACCTCACAGCAGAGACCCTGAGGGCCAGGAGCTTACTCAAGAAAGGGATTTCAGCAGATCTTTCTCTCCTGAGCAAATCACGTATGAAATAATTAAGATCCTGCCATCAGAATAGACAAACAAGGATTTTCATCTCCTCAGCTGAGCCCCACTGTCCAGGGAAGCAGAAGCCTCTGAGCCCAGGCCCAGGTGAGGGTGGGGTGAGGAGAGGAGCTCAGGGTGCAGATTTGCATGGAGGCCCCGCCCTCCTCTGAGGCAGAGGGGATAACACAGGGCTGGGGGCAGGTCCAGAGCTGGGATCTCAGGAGGCAGCGCTCTCAGGACGTCTCCACCATGGTCTGGGCTCTGCTCCTCCTCACCCTCCTCACTCAGGGCACAGGTGACGCCTCCAGGGAAGGGGCTTCAGGGACCTCTGGGCTGATGCTTGGTCTCCTGCTCCTCAGGCTCACCTGGGCCCAGCACTGACTCACTAGAGTATGTTTCTCCCTCTTTCCAGGATCCTGGGCTCAGGCTGCCCTGACTCAGCCTCCCTCTGTGTCCGGGTCTCCTGGACAGTCGGTCACCATCTCCTGCACGGGAACCAGCAGTGACATCGGTGGTTATAACTATGTCTCCTGGTACCAACAGCACCCAGGCAAAGCCCCCAAACTCATGATTTATGATGTCAGTAAGCGGCCCTCAGGGGTCTCCGATCGCTTCTCTGGCTCCAAGTCTGGCAACACGGCCTCCCTGACCATCTCTGGGCTCCAGGCTGAGGACGAGGCTGATTATTACTGCAGCTCATATACAAGCAGCAACACTTTCCACAGTGATCCAAGTTCATGAGGAACTGAGACCAAAACCTGCCCTGGGTTCTCAGGCTCCCTTTTTGCTCTGAAGATGCTTCCTCACCCAGTGCAAGGGGCTTCCTGCAGCGCGGCCTTGAGAATTCTCCTCTCTCAGCTCCATCCCTTTCCACCATGAAGTCCAAAAGGAAACCTGCCCTGTGGTTTCTCATCCAGGACAGGGACAGCTTCCTGATGCTTGTGTGCTGTGGTCGGTCCCTGAATGTGCAACTCTTCCTAGCTCTTCAAATGCAGGGACAGTGACAAGGAGTTACCTGACTGATGCAGTCACTGCTTTTTTCAGGAATGTCTCCACCCTAAATGCATCACCATCTTCCACACTGTGGGTAGAATTTTAGTCAACCACATTCTAATGGTTATCGCCACAAATTTGATCTTAGAAATAACAGTGCAGTGAACAGCCCTATGTGGCCTCCTTTGAGTTCCTGTGTGAATATGAGCACAGGATTCATTTCTAAAAGTGAAATGGCTGCGTCAGAAAGATGTGTGCTTGTAATTTTCACCCACTGTTGTCAGATTACCCTCCAGAGGGGTTCTACCAATTTACAATGCCAGCCAGAAGTACTTGTTCAGAGTACATTGTTGAAAGTGTAAATTTTTGCCAATCTACCAGACTCAAAAATGTTACCTTGTTACAGTTTTATTTTTGAGTCTCCTCTTCTGCTTAAGTTTGGGCCTTTTCAGAAACAGTTCAGTAGTTTTACCTTTTTTAGGATTTCATAAACTTTTTCTTGAATATCCAGATAAGAAGAATTTTAGTCTTTGAGGCCAGGCACGGTGGCTCACGCCTGTAATCCCAAGCACTTTGGAAGAGTTAGACAGGTCAATTGCTTGATCTCAGGAGTTTGAGATTAGTCTGGGCCACACAGTGAATCCTCATCTCTATTAAATTAAAAAGCATAAAAATAAATTTAGAAAAGAATTATTTTAGTCTTTGTGGTCCAAGAATCAACTTTCAATCCTAAAGTTGATTCTCAGGTACTTATAGCATCATTGACAACATAATCATTTAAAATGATAAAAGTCACTATCTCTCTGGACCACACAAAATCAAGTGTCAGGCCAGCGATGGTCACAGGATGTGTTTGAACAGTCACTGGTTTGTAGATTTGTCTGAGGGTTGAAAATTCCACCAGCATGTAATCTAGGTGGGGATCTCTCTGTGAGGGTCACTGTATTTCACCTCCTGTATTAGGCTGAACTCTTCCACTGGATAAGAACATACTCACATCCTCTATTTGATGGGTTCATGGGTTTGACCAAGACAGCCCTGTGTCACAGCCACATAAATTTTATCTGCATTGCTTGCTCTGAGTTTTGGGAGAGCTTTAATGTATCAGGAATAGACTCCTCCTAAGGCAAAAGTCTGAGGGTGAGGGATGGGCAGGTGGGCAAGAAAGCTTATACCAAAGCTAGAATATCCAGGGCAGGTTCAGAGAGAAGGGTCCTAATATCAGCATTTGACTGAAGCCAAAAACAGAAGAGAACATGCAAGTTCTGAGAATAAGAAATAAATAAATAGTTTAAGTTTTGAATGTATTGAATATTTTTATACTCCGTGAAAATTCTAGAACAGAATTTAACAATGGGATAAGGAAGAGAGCTTGAGATGTTAAAAGTATAAAGATCCCAAGCCAAGTTGCCAGAAGAAGAACAGGACTTTTTGGTGGAAATATGTTTATGCTGCAAATTACCTTTTCCTATGAAATTATTTTTTAGGAATAAGGAAACATCCTATGAAATATTCTTTTTTCCTACACTCAAGACCACCCCACAGGGGAACCTCAATATCAAATAGAAAAAATAATGCACTTTTGTATAACCATTAGGAGACACTTTATTTGCACAGCAAAATGTGGATGCTTAATGGTAACATTGGAAATAGTAGTTTAATATACATATGTGATGAATTTTCTTTTGACTATACCATTTCTGTTTCCAATATATCTTTCATAATAGGGACATCCTCTGTTCTTAAAACAATTTAACTTATGTTATCTTTTGTTCTATTTTCTGTATCAGCTCTATTTTTTACCAAACACCGGCAAAGATGTTCCATGGCTAATGATTATTAAATTCAATTTATGCTTATCTGCTTCTCTCCTCCAACCATAGTCCCTGGTTATCCTGAGCCCAGGTCAATGCAGCTGTGGCCTTAGTATTCTATGAGCCCATTTGACTTCCCCTTGTGTTCAATGGACTGACCTGGAGGAAACAGTAGGGGGTTCCCCTGCTCTCTGTCCCCAGGGTCCCTTCCTTTCAGTGGTACCAGCCCAGCCTTAATGCCCATCCGTGCCTGCCCAGTCAGGCCTCCATGCTGCCCACTGTAATGGCCACAGGTCAAAAACTGATTGTCAGTCTTGAGCAGATTGTCCTGACTCTTTCTGCAAAACTGAGCATCTCACACAGCACTAGGACATCACAAGCAAGGCCAGCTGTAAGAAGGCAAGCAGGAAAGTAATGTCCATCACAAAGGAGTTCTGCTGGGACACATTCTGGTGACGTCTCTCAGAACGGTTCAGGTGTCTGCAATTGCAGGCCCAGAGAACAGGACTGCAGGCTGGAAGATGTGATCCCTTTCTCCTGTACACAAAACAGTGCCGTCTGTGCGTGTGTGTAAATGCATATCCCTGTGTGTGTGTGCATGTGTGTAAATGCATATCCCTGTGTGTGTGTGCATGTGAGTAAATGCATATGCTGTGTGTGTGTGTGCATGTGAGTAAATGCATATGCCTGTGAGTTGGTGTGTGTGCCTGTCTGTAAATGCATATGCTGTGTGAGTGTGTGTGCACGTGTGTACATTCGCATGTTGGTGTTGCCAGGGAGTGCTGGCAGTGTCAAATGTCCCAGACTCAAAACTTTTCTATTTTTCTCACTTACCTTCTCCCTCAGACGTGCTTCTGGGTTAAATGAGTTCATATGGGCAAGGCCCACAAACAGGCAAGGCACAGGCCATAGTCACTGCTGAGTCAGTGTCATCAAATATTGTTATGCTTATATAGAACCTTGTCCAGGATGGGCCACATGTACACACCTGTCTGGTCCTGACAGAGCAGCAGAAGGGGCACTGAGACACAACAATGGCCAGGGCCCTGGCAACACGGAGACACCTTCCCACCCTGTGAGCTTCACAGACAACCGTGGGTATGGGATACAGGCATTCCTTTGAGATTGTTCAAATAAGCAGAGACAATCACTCCCCTATGAGACTTGAGAAGAAGAAGAATTCCAGTGAACCAGCCCCAGGAAGCCCACACTGAAGCCTGCTGAGTTCTCTCCAGTTGAACTGATGGACGGAGCATTTTCATGGGGACTTTTGAGAGTATGGAGAAGGCCTGAGGAAACCACGCTCAGCTGTGGGCTCCAGAGACAAAACTCTAGGATGTCTCCCCATGCCTAGACCCTTCGCCTGCCACCTCTCCTCACTCTTTGCACAGATGCTGCCCCAGGGAAAGCCCCCATAGGACCCTAAGCCTAGTCCTGACCCTGAGCTCAGCCCAGGTGATGCTTCAGGAGATGGGACCCTGAAAATGAGCCCCAAAGTCTCCTCAACCTGTAGGCTCTGTGGTTTCCTAAAGACTCAGTTACCCCCAGTAGAGATGGCCGTGAGACACCTGTCCCCACCTGCTCAGGAGACAGTGGAGCAGGCAACAGTGCAGAGAGAACCAGCAGGAGCCAGGCCAGGCCCTGCATCCAAAGCAGCCCCCACTCCCCACAGATTCTCCAGCTCTACCCTGGGGTACAGCTCCCACCTTCTTCAGGCTGAGGTGGGCTCCTCAGCATGGCTAGGCTATGACAGGGGAGGTCAGTGTGTTCACGGGACACATCCCTGAAGCCTGCCTGGCCCTGATGTCCCCTCCCTCCCCACCCTGGTTAAGCTCTGCCCCAAAGTGCCCAGGTTCTGAAATCCAGACACCTGGGTCAGCTCCTGGACTTGCCCCCACTGCCCTCTGTTCTCCTGAGCCACTTAGTCTCTTTGGGCCACAGTGTTACCTGCTGCAAAATGAGGAGGCTTACACCGAGCTGAAGAAGCCCTTTTCTTCATTCAAAATTAAAAGACAAAAGAGCAATGAATGTCATATTAATTAAAGCCTGATGAGGGGATGTCATTCAATGGACTTCAGTGGGTTTCAGACATGGAACTTCTTGTCTTTCCTCTGCAGGGATTCCAAGAAAGGGGCTCAAAAGAGCTTGTTTTCTGTATGGTGGGAACAGCAGCCCCCAGCTGAGAATAAGCAGGAGAGCCCCAGTTTCATCAGGAAAACAGACTAGACTAGTGTAGAAATCCTCCTGGCACAAGCTCTGAGAAGTGTGCAATGAAATAACCATAAACATGAAATTGATGGTGCCAACGATGGTGATGTTAGCTCACAACAAAGTTGCAGTGCAAGAAACATGCAGTGATGGCTATCAATCATAGCTGCTCTTACTGGGTGGGAGGTGCACCAGTTTGCATCCTAAGTGCATAGGAAACCTGGGTCCCTGTAGGATGGCACATGCGTCT